AAGAAACTTAATCCTCAACCTGACAGGATACTAATTTTAAAGAAACTTAATCCTCAACCTGACAGGATACTAACTTTTAAGAAACTTAATCCTCAACCTGACAGGATACTAACTTTTAAGAAACTTAATCCTCAACCTGACAGGATACTAACTTTAAAGAAACTTAATCCTCAACCTGACAAGAAGTTGATGTAACTGCATCTGAAACTCCTTTTTCATCTCCACATATTGTTAACACAGTTCTAAAAAATTTAAATTTATGCAAAGTTAATATTTTTTCGAGTTTAAAACTTTTTCACTTCACAAACTTTACGGAAATTCTTAAGTAAAATGTGATGTCTAAAGCAATCTAAAAAGGATTTGGGTCTTTGCCACAAACTCCTATTTTCAAATCACTTCATCTCAACCCAATGTCGAATACATTATATATTTCAAACTATGAATTCTGTTATATTTAATAGTCGTAGTTTGAAAAATCAAAGGTTTACACCATCGGGTTGCAGAGATTTAGGGATTAGAACAATTAAATTTGTGGCTTAAACTCAATTCCTTTAAAATTGAAAAATAGGAAAACAAAAAAGCCATTCTTACTGCGCGCTAAGCTGACTGTAAAATTAGCCTAATTGTGATTCGTAAAAACAAAAATTTGCATTTCAAATCAGTCAGTAATTCGATTTAATAAAAATACAAATAATAGAGTTAAAAAATTAGTTTCATGGATAATTTTAAGCTGGGGTTCTGTTCACCAATTAAGGAACTAAATACTTGCCTCAAACTCTAACTTTCTAAAGATCTATATCTTTAAACCTGCGTGAAAGTGTAAAGGTCTTTAACATCGGGTTGTAATGATATAAGGAAAACACCTAGAGTTTGAGGTAAGTGTTCAGTTTCTAAATTTGTTTTTTAGATGTACATCTAAAGTGTCAATAAGCATGCAACATATAGTCTAAAAAATGCTGTTGATATAAAACTTAATGTCCCCCCCCCACTCGGGATTTTTGTGGGGTCACCAACTAGGGTTAAAACAGTGCTGGAAAAGAATGATCCATATGTTCGCTATATAAATTGTAAGAGGAATAGGTCTAAGATCAAATACAAGATCTATTTGGCTTGTTATTTAACCTCTCTAACACTACAAAGTGACTCGGCATTTAGATTTTGAGAACAAATTTCTCTAAGTAAAGAGAGATTTCTTGGAGTTTAAATATCGAAATTGGTAGGACGGTTTTTTTACTTTTTGTTTTGTGTTTGGTATTCTTTGTATTCTATTCTGTGTTTCTTATTTCATGCTTTAATCAAATTGTCTGTATTACTGCATCTGTATTTTGTAATCTATATTCTGTTTTTTAATGTGTGTTTTTTATTTTAAGATATGTATTCTGCATGTGTGTTGTTCTTTACTAAATTCTGGTTTTGTATTTTATATTCTTTAATCTATGTCCTGCATTCTGAGTTTTAAATTCTGTGTTCTATTCTCTATATTATGTGAAATGAATAAATCATGATTTTCTCCAGCATTGTCTACTGTTTAATCTTATTTTGATCAATGTACTCCTATCACACAACATTTGGTCTTAACCTCTGAACGCGCATGATCACCCCCCCCCTAACCCTTTCTCTCCCCTTTTTCCCCGTGTTTACCTCTAGGGTAGAGAACGAAAAACAACTTTGTCTCCGTCTCTCATTCAACCCTGGGGTAGAGCAACGTGAATAATTCCGGTCTAGGGATTGAACCCTGACGGGTATCCTTGATCTACTTGATGATGGAGTGCTCCGTCCTGAAGACATATCAGGGATGGATGAGAAGGATTTGAAGTCAGCTCCCCCTGGTGTAAAGTATAAACTACCAGATCGAAGTCTGGTGTCTCGAACCAACCCTGCAGGCTGAAAGTCTATTGAAGAGGTTTCTTTTCTCTTACCAGGTACAGATATGGAGCGTGTTGGTGATGGAAAATTGTAGCAGTTTGATGAAATTCTAGGTTTTAGAGTTGCTTGGGGTTGAGTTGGAATTCGAGAGGATTTTAAAGTATGAGTTTGAAGACTTGATTCCGAGGCTGAAAACTGTCTGATTAATCCACCCAATTTTGTAACCCCGAGATTCATCGGTTCAAGTGTAGTAATTCTAGCAGACCTTTCACCTTTCTCTACACTAACAGATCTATACTCATCCTTCTGAACTAGAGAATTTAGTTCAAGAGAGGTTTCAGCGGAGCTAGTAGGAGAGGAAATACTAATCCCACTGTCCTTTCTTCCAACAATCAGCATCTTTCCATCCACGCTTTCAGATGATGAGTATCTGGGAGACTCCGAAAGCTCTGATATATCTGTGAGACTGATACCGCTATCCTTCCTACCACCGGGATGTTTACGGATTGGTATTCTAGATGGATTGCATGCTGGAGGAGGGGAATATTTTCTTATTTCCGGTTCTTCTGGGGGTTCTTTGTTTTTAGGAGAAGAGAAAAATTGATCGATTTCCAGAAGATCAATTGTGATGTCTACCACTGGTTCTTGATCATTTACTTCCATTGATCTTGATGCTTGCATTGTCCTATTTTGCATTTGAATATCATTTGTTGGTTGAAGTTTTCCTTCTATTGAATACATGTCATCTGCTGTAACCAATGGAAGAGTTAGACTCTTAGCTTCTGCTATGGAATAATGACCTTTAGCTAATCCTGCAGAATGAGCTGTCACTTCTTCTCTAAAGGAAGAAACTACTTCTGAAGGAGTCACTACGTTTCCAGTAAAAGTTTGTGAAAAGTTCTCTGCTGAAGTTGAGTTGGGGGCAGATAGTTCAGTTTCTTCTGAAAATGTCAGGGTTGCTACACATTCTGGTTCATCAAGATCTGCTACTTTTGTTAAACGCATGTCATGTTGATCTTCTAAATGTATGTCTACAACTCCTTCTAAGGAAAGCTGAGTACAAGAAATATGTGTGGCATTATCTAACTTATCTTCTGATCTTATCTCTTCCATCCTGGTTCCCATGTGATTAAAATTAACTGGGTGCAGATCTACAAATCTATCAAGTAAATGGGGGTCCTTTGGTTTAGGCACTTGCACAGGGGTCTTAGGGCGGAACCAGATTTTAGGCTTAGGAGGGAGGATAGGTTTAGAAGAAGAACAAGGTTTATTTCTTGAAATTGGAGTTATAGTTTCAAGTCGGAAATATTCATTTGCATCTTCTTTGCCAGAGAGTTCTTTAAGACTGTTGATTGACTCTACATTCGGGCAGAGCATGTTTGATGTCTCTGGCAGAGATGTTGATCCATTAATGTTTATCCGGATTTTACAAGGTTTAACCGGTTTAACCGGTTCTCCTAATCTAAACTCAACAGGAAATCCGGTCTAAACAACAGAGATTCAAATATTTTTTTGGAAAACTCTATGCATTTTTAAATGTTATGCCTATATATGTAAGTAATCACATTTAGAGACTAATTTTAGATTCTCTTTATTTTCTCTGCTAATAATTTTATTGCTCTGGCTAAAGAGGATCATTAATAAAGTTAATCCTAAATTTTTATATCTTAAGATTTAAATATGAATTTTATCTCTTCTTTTATGACTATCAGAAGATAATTAAGTCCTATGAATCATTCTAAAAATATGAACAGTATGATTAATTTTAACATTTTGTCCTTCATGAAAAAAACACCTGTTACTACAATCTACATCATGATGGATATTAATTGATAAAAAAAAATTAAATTCAAATCTGTTTTCCTGTATATTTTGCCAGTCTAGTTTACTGGCTGTTTCAACAGTTTGTTTCCATATTTCTTCAATGCTTTGTTCTTTCAATTCTTTATTATATAACCCCACAGACCAATCAACTAACCACAAAACAAATTATTAAAAAAATCATGAATATTGTCAAGTATGAAAAATGTACAATGTACCAGGGCCTTTTCCTTCTACAGTGGTCTCCATAATAATTGGAAAAAGGAAAACATTTACAACTTTGAAAATTATTTTTAATTAATATTAATAGTTTTATTATTAAAAAATCAAAGGGTCAGTGTGCACTGCACAATTAATGTGTTCCATGTTCATCTGACTATTCAAAATAGTAAATTTAGACTAAAAGTCGTCATTGTATTGCATAATTTTATGAGGACCACTGCATATAAAGGGAAAGTAATATGGTTTAATTACATTTTTGTCACAGATATAAATGTCTCTCTTTTGTGACCTTTTAAGGACAGAAACTTGAAAAAGTCGTTGGAAGTTGATGCATGCTTGAATGAGTATTAAAAATTAGAGGGGCAGGGGTAGAAAAAGGAAGGCTTAAGAAAAGAAGGGGGGGGGCGTCGTATGAAAGAAAATGTATTGCACTATCATGATTTTTATCTTCATTTAAGGACCACAATCAAATTCATAATTCATGCCTCCAACTCTAGCCACGCACATTTGTCATACCAATATGCACGCAACGGTGCACGCGCACCAGGGGAAATTTTTAGATTTTTATTCATTTTGTTTTGTTCCTTCGTTTGGATTCGGTTCTGAGTCCACTGCTACAATGGTAACACAGCTTTCTGGTAAACATTGATATCAGTAATTCGAATTATTAAATAAATAGCTTCAAAAACGTAAACAATATGGAGAGGGGCGACATCCCCCATCCCCCTCCCCGAGGATTAAAAAGTTAGAACTGTAAAATTGATCGAAACATGATAAACAATTTCTTGGGAAAGGCACATTTATTTCATGGGGGGGGGGGGTGAATTTCGGGATTTTTAAATATTTTTCTTCTCTTTACAAGTAATACCATGGAAAAGGGAACTAATATTTGCCTCAAGCTCTGATTTTCTAAGCCTTGTATCTTTGTAACCTGATTTTGTAAATCTTTGATCTTTCAAGCAATGCTCGATCAGGTTGCATAAAAGATATAGTGATTAAAATTTTATTAAGTGTCCAATTTTTTAAATTTAAAATAAAATGAACTTTAGCTTAAATAATTTAGTATTGTATAGAACCGGCCCCCTTTACGATAAAGATTTCGTATAATCGGGAAAGCGTTACTGATTTCTTGCCTGAGTCCCGAGACATGATTCTAGAAAACTCTATCTATCTATCTATCCGTCTTGCTATCATTACCCGCCAGATTTTAACTTTAATAAATCAAAAGTGTGACCACAGATTCAGCTTAAATCACTCATTGTCAAATTGATGAAATCATCTAAAAAACTATTAGAGAATTTAAAACAGAGTGTTACAATTTGCATATTCTCCTAGTTATACGATATTATTTTGTCATTTTAGAAGCAGATTTCATTAACAATGCTTCGATTTTTTCTTCAAATATTTAATTAACCATCTTTGCCTTTAATATCAAACTTATTAGATTAATGACAAAATCATAAATAAAATGCAACTAACTCTGATTTTCTTACCCCTATACCTTTACAGCCCGATGCCGTAAAGCTTTGATATTTCAAACTATAAAGTATATTAGGTCAAATAGTCTAAATTTGAAATATCAAAGGTTTACACCATCAGGTTGCAAAGATAAAGGGATTAGAAAATTCTATTTTGATGCTTTTCTATCTGAAAATTTAAAATTTAAAAGTGAAATGTGAATTTAAATAGCAGACACAAAGTAGGAAATGTCCCTCAAATAGTGAGTCACTTAAAATACTTTTTAGAAAACATTTTAATTTCAGAAAACTCTTTAAAATTTGAAGAAAGGCCTACAACATTTCAGAAAACTAGATAATATTTGAAGAAAGGCCTACAACATTTCAGAAAACTAGATAATATTTGAAGAAAGGCCTACAACATTTCAGAAAACTAGTTCAAATTTGAAAAAAGGCCTGCATTTGTTTGCTGTCTAATGAAGAATTTTAAAAAGCTAACGGGAAATTAAAGTTGAAACCTGAGTTCCTCTTCCTGTCTAGGTGAACACTGTACTCGGTAATGTACCCGGAGAAAGGATTCCCAGGACCCGAACCCTAACCTCATAAAGATATCAAGCTCATTAATTACCGTTTTGTCCCGTTTTCACCTACTCGCGCATTTTCACATTTTTCTCGTGGATTTCATAGTTTTTCACTCGAGGATTTTTTGCATACTTCTCTGGAATGGGCGGCAGGTTGGTACCATGAAAAGGTTAGATTTGCATAAGGGCTGAGATTTCTCTTGCAATCTGGCTTAACCTCCCATCTAGATTCTGGGTATGGTTTGTTAAGAAGGAGGGAGAGGGGGGGATTAGGTGTCAGTTCAGGAAACGTTGTTTCTCTAGAGCTATCGTGTTCTAAACCTAAATACCGGATCACGAATCATGAAGCTGAGAAATGATTGTTGGCTGAAAAGGTCTAGAGTGTCCTTAACAGATCATGATTTTTAAACTTCTTGACACACACAACGTTTCTCAGGGGTTGCGTGTACGGTTTAATTAGATGTGTGAGAAACCACAAGTATTTGGTGAAGGAATCTTCTACTCCGTTTTTTTAGTAAATAATCGATTGTTGCATAAGCATGACGATACTTTTCTCACGAGATGTTTAGTATGGAAACACCCCTAAACTACACTAATATTTTTGTTTGATTGAGCCGGGAGAGAAGCACACACTGTGTGATGTGTCCAAGTCTAAAGTTACCGCGGTACTGAGTGGAATGGCGGAACTGGAGATTAAGACGCTACAGACGGAGGTATCGTAACTCTAGGCCCGGCGAGTTTAACTATGCGCCTCGTAAAGGCACGGAGGGGGGGGGGGTCGTAAGAGCTTACTTTTTACTCATTGATGATATATACCTCTAGATAGATAACATCTCCTTTACAATGCATCAAGGTGGAGAGGAGAAAGTTAAAGATATCTTCTACAAAAAAATCTAACCTCCAAAAGACAACATCCAAAGAAATATTGAGTCTTAGCAACAAACTCTAAGTTTATAATCCCTTTATCTTTGCAACCCATGGTCGTACACTTTAGATATTTCAAACTATAAATTCTGTTAGGTCAAAAATTCTAAGTTCGAAATATCAGGTATACACTATCAGGTTACAAATATATATGGATTAGAAAATTTGAGTTTATGGTAAAGACTGAATTCCTTTAAATAAATATCAATTGTAAAAGCCTTTTTTTATATTTATAATTTTTTAACAATAATTGGTAGCTTTATAGTTAATATATGGAAACTGGACCAACACAGATAATCTTTTTCAAGAATTATTATTTGATATTTTCATTTGTTAAAACATATTATTGCAGAAATTATAACAAAGTTTGGCGTTAAATAGAAAAACATCATTCTTTCATGGAACTAAGTTCATGCCAAAAATTTTAATTTTTTATTCTTAAATCTTGATTCTTATCGAAAAGAATTTACTGATATAAGAATTTTAAAAAATCAGAGGTTGTGGCAAAAAAAATTCAGGAAAATTATTTAAAATGCGAGATCGAATCATGAGTAAATTTTAGCTATTTAGAAAAAGATTTTATTAGGAAACAATGAACCTCTGTGATGCTTGTTAAAAGAAATATTTTTTGTTTGTTTTTTTTTGTGAAAAAAAAACTGAGAAAAATTCAAATATTTTATTTGCAATTTAGTTTTCCGAAACGTGATTTCTTTTTTGTAAAATCTAATGTTTTACAATAGGGGGTCATTGAGGGGGGGGGGGCCAGGATTGTTAGAGCATAGGATGGGAGAGGGTAACCCCCCCCCTCAGTGCATTTATTTACGTGTTTTCAATGTTTAATTACAACACGTGCTGATAGCATTATTTTCAAAGTAAAGTAATTAAGTCTTGCACCCCTAGAAATACAATCATTTAATCTAATGACACGTAACACATTTTGAATACAAAGTACTTTTTGCAATTAAACTCGGGGTTTATAGTTTCCGTATAAAAGGGGTTATTACTCAGGAGGGTAAAAAAGATTTACAGTAAAGGGTATTATTGTGAATCGGTTATGGCAATTCTATTTGATGCGTCAATGAAAATACCTTCACTGAGGGCCAGACTATTCTTTTAAGTGGATATTGTAAATCTTGAACGCCTGATATCGATATCCAGTATGCATGGACACTTTCAAATGTGAGTATAAATGCTTGATCCCTCAATCAAAGTTATCCCTGCAGGGTATGACCTACACTGAAAATGGAATTAAATGAATCCGTAGATCTGGATGAGATGGAGATCAATCCTTGATCCGTAGATCTGCATAAGATGGAGATCAATCCTTGATCCGTAGATCTGCATGAGATGGAGATCATTCCTTGATCCGTAGATCTGTATGAGATGGAGATCAATCCTTAATCCGTAGATCTGCATAAGATGGAGATCAATCCTTGATCCGTAGATCTGCATAAGATGGAGACCAATCCTTGACACGTAGCTCTGCATAAGATGGAGATCAATGCCTAATCCTGATATTCACATACCAAAAATTGACTTAAGGAAACCAGGGATTACAAGTTTCGCAAATGTTCCTTATTTGGAAAACTGTGGATTAAAGTGTATTCAAATTAGTGGAACAATCCCTTTAATAAAGTATAAATCTGAAAGTATGAAATAAATCCAAAACTGAATCCTGTGTTGGTTGTTTACAATTGGTCAGACAAGAATACAAGTCATGTCATTCATATAAAAGCCAT